AGTAATTTTTGAAATTCAAATTTTAAAAAGAGGAAGAAAATCTTAATCAAGATCGACACTAAAACGAGTACAAATAGCCGTTCATTAATCAAGAATCAACACAAAAGAAGAAAGAGGAAATGATAAAATTAGCAGAGAGTTTTTTTTTTAATTTTTGAGTTTTGAGATTTCAAAGTTACGATTCACCAGATTCAAACAATAATTCTTCGTATAGGCCAATTTGCAGGCTGTGTGTGTCTACAAAATATCTGGACGAAGCCCGTCATTGTCGTTTCATTTCCCATGATGATAATGATAGTTAAGCTTCTTCGTTTGCATGTATTCCAAGCCAACAGTACCTTGTGTTTGTCACTCTTAACAAATCTGCCGGCTTAATTTAAGTACAACTTTTATATGCGAAAAGATGAGATGCAACTGTGTGTTTTGAGCAAAATCAACATTTTGAGTGTGAGTAAAAATTATATAATAAATTTATTGTCATTTTTATATAACCATTTGACTTTGAGGTTTGAACTTATATAAGAAACAGAAATTAAAGAAACAAAATAGAGAAGTTGCATATCAAGCTTTAAGCCCATATACGCCAGGACAGACAGAAGACCCCAAGAAGAAGAGCAAGACTGGCTCCTACTTGAAGCATTCCATTTTTTGCAATTTTGGATTCATAAAATCAGCGCAAGAAGATCGACCAGCGCCATATATATTAAAATCCCAGCTGATGCCGCGTTGAAGATCCCTTCAACAATAAGAGCTGTTGGGCTGCTGTCATTGTAATACTTGATATCCCTATTCCTATGGCAATGCCAACTGGGGCTTAAGAGAGAAAAAAGGTGCCATTGCGACAGCCCGAGCCTTGATTTTGCCTACAAAAATTTACAGATAAATAAAACAACTCATACACCATATTTTGTCTACTTACATAATTAATGTTATGACGAATTAATTCGGCAACTTAAAATATGCATCATAGACACAAGAAAGGAAAAAAACAAGCACTTCAGGGTTGATTCAATGCCTTGTGCTGCATTCAAAATAAGCTACTATTTTCCTTCTGAAAGGCAATTTCATTTCATAAAATAGCAGCTTTACAAAAAATCTACCATTTCATGGTAATTGTTACACTGGACCTGCAGTGCCATGACAGATGTACTTACAAAACGGAAAACACTTCTCACATCAGGTTGACTGGGAGATCAGGATAACCCTATCCCATTCCTATCCACGTCTCAGCAACCATATGTCCCTGTGATTCCATCGTCTATACAAAACCCTATACACTCTCCAACATGTGACAGGGAATTCATTAACAAAAGATGCAACAGAACAATTCGATTGAAAGTGTTTTTTTTTTATTTTTTTGAAGGTAAAGATCAGAAGAATTTATTAAATATCAGAAGATACAAGATCTGACCAAAGACAAGATCAGAAAACAAAATAACAACACCGAGCAGAGAAGGAGAAAGAAGGAGATGAAAGCGCATCTCGCCAGCAAAGGGAACAAGCATCAGTAGAAATTAAAAACAAAAAATTCCCTGCAA